TCTCTCTCTCTCTCTCTCTCTCCATCTTTTTCATTATTTTCTTTCGATAAAAGCGTTAAATTTATGCTCATTAAATGCGCAGTAAACAATCAAGCGGAGACACCGGGCTCGGAATCGGAATGCAACTTGATGGACTATGGACTTTTCGATCTCCATACCGGTTTACCTCAGAGAGCTTACAGCCGTGGCGAGGCCAAGGTAAATTTATACTCTATTCTATTCGATATCTATTTTAATATTTCATTATTATATTAGTTATCTACTTAAACTTCGATATACAATCAAGATCCGTTGAACTCAATTTTAATTTCTGACCTTTCATAACTGATATTTTATCATTTCTACTCTTTCCTAGGAGACTGCTAAGAACAAGGAGGAAATTTATATATTATATAGGAATATTTATTTTTTTGCTAGATTAAACAAATTCTTTAATTTAATTGATGTACTATATTAATACATTCCACGTAAAAAAAGAGTTAATAAATTAATTATTATAATACGCCTAATCCAGAACAAAATTTTAGCTTATAACAATATTTAGCTTAAAAAGAAATCAGGTGATGTCAAATAATCGTATTAATTCCAATGTTATTTGTAGATGAAGAGATTGCAGAATGGCGGCGTCACGTCGGACGAGGACGTCTCCGTCACAGGATCGCCGAGCATCCGACGTCGTTTAGGATCCTGCTCCGGCGGTCCCGACCAACAATCTACCAAAGAAGATACATACTCGCCAGGTATCGCGTTGCAATTTATATTATGTTTGCTACAAGAAGCGAGTCGGGGACATACACACCACGATTTTATTTACTCGACAGATATCACGCCTAACGGCACACTTCGCCGACGCAGGAGCAGAATACCCTGCGAGGATGACGACGGAAATTTGATGGACTTTTTGCGCACCTCCGGCCAGGATAACACTCGGGAAAGGAAGTCGTGGGGAAGTTTAGGTATTCGCATTTCAAATAAATTTAACTTAAAAGAATAATTAATATGCTTCAACGATGCTATGCGCTGTTGAATTGGTCAAGTCGAAGTAATAAATAAATTTAATCTCTTCTCGGATGTCATTGCAGATCGATCGTGGGCCCGAAGAGCTCGCGGACAGTCACGAAGGGGAGATCTTCTGAACGCCGATTTTTCAGGCGACCGGGAACGACCGAGCTCGCCGTCTCCTCTCGCGGAGAGCAAGCCGTTCCTACAAGAGGAGGAAGCTAAGCCGACTGGGTAGGTTAACGTTAACGTGACTCTTACGTTAAAGAGCGACGCGACCAACTCGACTAACTCGTGTTTCAAAAATTAGGAAAGCATGGCGGCAAAAGATCGAGGCGTGGCTATCGGAGAACGAGAAGGAGGATCGCGCGGGCGAGCAGCTTCAGAGAAAAGCAAAGCAGCTGCACCAGGCGAACCGTCGGTCCTTCGAAGACTCAGGTGTCAGAATTTATCTCACGTAATTCACCAAGAGGAATGAGGACCGGCTCTAATGCAAAATATTTCGATTGCAGAAAGCGAAGGCAAGAGCTGCACGACAAATGCTTTGGCGGAAGATCAATCCATGCACGGAGGATTCTCCGAAGTTTACGACTGGCGGCCGTCAGTCGAGAAGACCGACGTGATGCGCACGATGGAGGCCATTGAAGGTGTGTACTTTGTTTTCTTTATTACGTGAATTATTGTGTAATTGTTATTTTTTGTTTTATTTTACTTTGGATCTATTTTCAAGTCCAGTAGTAACTTCACTGGCGAGATCGCGATCTCGCAGTTCTATTCAATCTCTTCTAAACGAAAGACATGAAGCATCAAAGATTTTATTAGACTAACTACGTTCTTCTTTTCCAGAAGCCCAACCGCTCTCGTCCCAGGACAAGTCGCCCTGGCGAAAGTCGAGCTTAAACGTACCAAATAGTATGGAAGAGACTGATCCACGTTATTCCCGTAGACTTAGGTCCAGGCTCAGCACAGAGAACACTCTCGTCCCAAGCACACTGCAGGTAATACAAACTAGAAGCTGATTTTGAGTCTCGTTATTTCACGATGCAAAACACTATACGCGTTTTGAGTTTTGAAATCTTTCGACAATATGCCAATTCTCGTCACGATGTGTTTGCAGGCTATCAGAGAGGAGGACAGAAAAAAGAACAAAATTACCGACACAATCAATTCGGACACGCAGGACGAGCTGACGATCTACCTCCGGCAACCTTACACTGGGTCGCAAGCACCAGCGACGCGGCGCTTCTCGAAGCTCAGCAAGAAGGCCACCGAAGAGGAGAGAATCAGCGACAAGATTGAAATCGATTCGGACAACATCGAGACACCGCCGGCGACCAGACGGCTGTTCAGTCCGCCGAAGGAGGTGAAGCCCGTGGAGAAGGAGCCCTGCAAGAGGGAACGTTGCAACAGTTCCCTCCAGATTCGAGAAACGAAGACTGCCATTTTAAAACCCGTCAGTTCCACCACGGATCTCGGAACCGGTAAGCGAAAGCAAAGTCTACAACGTAATATCGTAAACCAAGGATTTTAAACTTAAATAATTTCTGTTAAGTATTTCCGCCTCGCGAGTGTTAATTAATCGATTTCTCATTGATCTATTTAAATAAAACCTAAGTTTACTAATTACCTCCAGGTTCTCGCGAATGATCGAAAGACAGGAGATCGTAAAGATTGATAACGACTAACGTAATTTCTTATTATTACTAATACGATCATTTCCCTTTTCAGGCAACTTTGACAGATATTCAGCGACGCGGCGAACCCGCAGATACAAGAAGACCCAGGATTCCGGTGACAAAGACAAGTCGGACGCGTCTAGTCCCGAGCTGGTCTACGACGAGAAGCCGGCGCAGCGACCCAACACTCTGGCTCTGAGTGATGTCGAAGTGAACAAAGCGAATAAGGAGGAGGAGGAAGAAGAAGAGGAGGAAGACGTTATGCTGCGCGTCTGGCAAGATAAGCTGAAGCGACGCGGCGACGTGTCGTCGACGTCGTGCGACATCGACGCCGCGCTGGCGGAGATCGCGCGCTCCGGCGAGGACCTTCAGCGTCTGTCGCGCTCGGCCGCCGGCCACAGAAGCTCGCGGCTGCCGGTTAGCCAGCCGCCGCCACCGGTGGTGGCGGTGACGAACACCGTCCTGAGCCCAGTCATGCAAGAATCGCGACCCCGCGAACCGGTCGCGGTGCTCGCTGAGCGAGCGGTGACGAGTCGCGAGCGTCATCGCAGCATGATCGACCCGAGTCAGGTAAAGGAGGCGGTTCGCCTAACCAACAGCCCTCCAGTCGTCCAGGTAAACCAGCAGCCGGATTCCAGGACTTTCCAAAGAAACGGAAACTCTCCGCAGGATCAGCCGCGACCGCGGGATAACGCTCCGGTTGGAGTTGCGGATGAGGAGGGGCACACGAATCTGTCAAGCAACTTGAAGAGCAGCCACCTCGAGCCTGAGAAGAATATAGTCGTTCTCCAAGCGGACAAGGACGATTCTCGCGATCGGTAAGTGCGCTAGAAAAATGATCAATCGCAGCAACTCGGATCCAGGGAAATGAACTCCATTTCAAGGTTGTGTATGGCGAATTGATGCTTTGATTCTTTGAATTTTGTTATTATAATTCCCAGAAATAGCTTGGAAAACAATCTCATTCCATTTTTAGTTCGCTTGACTCGATTGCAGTTTCTGCGACGAAATTAACATAAACCTGAGAATCACCTTTAATCGATTCTTTGCAGGGTGCTCATGACGCGACAAAACTCCGTATTCCGCGGCTCCAGGTATATCCCAGACATAAGCGTCACGTCCTCACCACCGTCATGCGGTAAGGGCAAGGAGCAGGAGTTGAACGACGAAGGCTTCGAGGAGACTCAGAGCCTCGTGTCGGAGACTCTGAGCCAGGAGACGTCCTCTGGCAACTATGAGACCGACACGCACGACTCGACGCGGTGCTCACCGGCTGAACTAGGTTACAGCGGTGAAAAACGTCGCCGTCGCGATGACGACGACGTCCTGGATGGCCGGCGACGCTCGTCCGTCGACAAGCTGCTGAAACCGCGAGCGGACAAGGTATACGACAAGAGGGAGAGCGCGTCGCGCAGCAGGAACGTCCCGGAGAAGTCCAGCTTCCTGCCGAAACGCACGACGACCGGTACGAAGCGCGAGACCACGTTGAGGAAGACCGAGTCCCTGAAAAGGACCGTGAACACCGTCCCGAGCAAGCCGGCGTCCCGGAACGAGGTGGAGCGTTCGGGCTCTCGCAGTAGCCTGCGCAGCTCGCGGAGCTCCCTGAACAGCGCAACGTCCGTGAACACTGTGCGCAATTTGGCACCCAGTCAACACGCACACTTACGCAATTACACCTCAGCCATCTGCGCGCTCACCAACGACCTGAGGAAGAGCCCGTCGAACAGTCCGTTGCCGCCGAAGGACGCTGACAAGAGGCGACCGGGTCAGCCGCGAACCGGAGTCAGCAGGATACCCGCCAGCAGGAGCAGCAGCAGCGGTAGTAGTGTCGGCCCGGCGGCGAGAAGCATGCGGAAGACACCAACGGTGAGTGTATTTCTTTTCAAGTCGTTAGTTAACGATAAGAAGAATCGCGTGATGTCAATTAATGCATGTCGTAATTAACGCATGATTCGATATTGGATTTGTTAATCTAATCAAAGTGAAATTTGTAAAAGAAGATGTAATCTCCTGTAACTATAAATAAGTGTAATATTATTTATCATATTACGATTAATATCGCAATTAAGAGATTTAATGTTGAATCTTTTAACACGATTAATATTACATTTTTAGCAAAATATCCTGCTCTTCTGGGATCCGCTTTAGTTAAATCCCGTGAAACTTTAATTACTTATAACATAAGATCGTAAATATATATTAAAAATTGTTATATCACTCTTTTTCGACGTGTTTTCGCATAGATCATTTTCTGTAAAGCTCGAGAGTGATTTTGTCGAGGAACATCTTTTCCTTTGCTAGAAAGAGATTACAAGTTTTGACAAGCGCTTTTCAAGCAAGACGAATAATCCTGGTATATCAGGAGAATAATAGCGTCGTGCGTGGTAATGTCTTTAGAATTTTATTCAAGGCCTCTCGCGACATATATTGTCACACAGGTGCTGCCCGAGATGTCAAAAGTCACGAAGGGTCGGCCGATCTCATCGCGCAGCAGCAGCAGCGGCAGCAGCGTCGGTCAACAACCCATTGTGAGCGGTCGATCCGCTGGCGATAAGGCATCCGCCACGAAGAGCAGGCTGGTGCAACCGCGAGCTGGCACCAAGAGTCACAGTTTTATGCGGCCTACGGCTGCCAGCGTCAACAAGGGTTCCATACCGAACCTGCCCAAGAGCATCAAAGCTATGGTCAAGTGATAATCTCTTCTCGATCAGAGCAGAAGAAGCATTATTTCGTTGTCCATCGCAACGCCGTCGAGGATCCCGAGTAGATTCGGTTTAACAATCACGTGCAACAGATAACGAGTGTCGCCACGTTCGCGCAGAATCGAGGGGTCTCTCGACGGGCGCAGCCGATTTCAAAATCATAAAAGTTGTCACGTTGTCGCGAGGGTGACGTAGCCCGCGGAATTAGGTGACAAATTACCAATATCTTCGCTTAGTACGCCGTCTCTCGCATCGTCGAGAGACAAAATAAGTAGAGACTATACTCCTCCTCTGATACGCGCACTATCGTCACATATATGCACACACGCATACACACACCCCGAGCACACGCGCACCAAACAATGCAAGTTCTCAGACCAAGAGAAAGTAATAATCAAATAATCAAGTCTATTCGCAGCTTTACGCGACACCCACGTTGTGACCAAGGAAACCTGAAGGAGCGCCCCCGATCTTTACATTTCGCGCCAACCAAATTCCGGGGGTCGGCCTCCTTTCAGTACCCTAGAGTATATATATATATATATATATATATATATATATATATATATATATATATATATATATATATATATATTTAAAGTATACTGTGTAACATATTCGACTAATGTGCATGTACAATATACGTATTATGTAATTCTTACCGGTTAACACGAAGATAATTGTATTGTAGGATATACGTCTGATACAATAAATTAACAAATCACTTAAGATGATACTTGAACGGCAAAATTGACGCACACACACGTGAATCTCGACGGTGAAGACACACCCCATGTCAAAGTTTTAATTCTACGTTAACCCCGCAATTCCGTCGAACTCGAAGGATTAATCGGCGAATCCCGAGACGGTAATACTACACAGGCTATTGTCGTTTGACGTCATAAATTACTCATCCTCGTTTTGTCGAGGTATGAAGAAATACTTATTCAAGGATTATTTAATATTCGTTCGTCTCAATAGCGCGCCGCATTTTTAATTCCTTCCTTAATTCCTAATTTCAATAAGCAGTTTTAACAAAATATTAATTACGTAACTTACTCAACTGCAGATAGAATATTGCAATAAGCAAATATAAAATAATTATCACGGGTAAATATTAGGGTTAACGAGTATAAATGACACAATAAACTCTCTTTATTCATATAACACTATTTTATTGGCGTCGGGAGTTTCGATAAAATTTGGAGATTTAAAAGTGGCAAGAAAGAAGAAGTCATACGGAGAAGAAAATATTTGAAAATTTCTTTGTGGGATATAGTTTATTTACAGCAATGAACTTTATATTCCACAAATAAATTTTCAAGCATTTCGGCTCAGTACATAAAGCCACGGTAAACGGTTACGTAAACATCAATGAGTATTGTGTGAACAAGTAACGAAAGTAAGTATTACAAAATAAGTATTACAAACACACGTGCGATTCGCATTGCATACTTCCTCATACTTTATTCACTACATTCAACAAGAAATATCTACATACGTTTTATGTACAAGGATGTTGCATGAACGATCCGTTTTCAAGTTGCATGAAAAACCGCGCTTCGACGGGGATGTTTTGAATGAGATCACTCGCCGGGGCACAAGCTCTGCCCCGATGCTTTCTAAGTAGCGTAATAATTCAAGAGGGAAGTGACGTCTTCCCTCGATAGTCAACGTTTAGCGGTTACTTTGCGTATAAATCTTTGTTTCTTCTTTCGTACAGTAACGTAAATATAACGTTCAGCCACAGTTAGTCAATCGATGCGCCGTCGGCGGATCGGCGACATCGGGATCGTCTCACTCTCGCCGTGAACGGACAATTAAACTCTGCAGCTTGTGGAAATAAATAATTATAAATTAGGATCGATCTCGCGCTGCTCTCTGTAGGGTATAATCTCGGCGGAATACCGGGTTACCGCAAATGAAGATTCCATTCTTCCACGCGGGTTAACTCAGTCGTCCCAGTTACAGATTTCAATAGTAGAGAAAAAATGTCTCCCTCAGGATCCGACAAATTATCAAATTAATCAACTTTCCTTCGCATAATCTTCCAACATAGCGATCACAAGATCGATATTCTCCGTGTGTACGAATACTTCAATTATCGCATTAATTGTCGCACCGTATTCGACTTACTCTTTCTCTTTTCTCAACCGTTCGATCTCATCTTCGCGCTATCTTTCATATTTTTATATTAATGTTATAGTTATCGTAGATAAAACTTAGTAGGGTTACTAAGACACCCGCGGGCTCGTTCGCGTTAAAAAAATTAAACACCGCCAGCCTATCTTCCGCGCAACCTCGGCCAATCGAGAGACACGAGAGGCGGCTTTGATTTCGCAGCGCGTAAATGAAAAGAAGAGAGGAAATAACAGAAAATAACGAGGAAAGAATTGACGATCGTGAGATGTGTGGCACGTGTGATACAGAGCATTGCAAGCACTGTACGTCAATGTCTTAAAAGGTAAGGGAACCCAATTGCTTAAGCTAAAGCGCTTAAGCTAAATATAAATACAATAACATTAGCAATTAATGACGAATACCCTCGACGGACGAACGAAGTTCCTCTTTCAACGAATTAAAAAATATTACAAATAATACAAACGTAAAATAACTAACTCAGTTGAGAAATCAATCGGATGAAAAACTGCGCGCGCGCCCATTCGAACCGGAACTTGCGTGAGGTACGACTCGGTCCGCCTGCGACAATTGATCCAATTGTCATTCGCGGACGATCGTGAAATTAATAAATTCAGGCTCAGGTCATTCCAGCTCTCGATCCCGAAACCCGATCGACACGGGCGCTTGCGGCGACAAGATAAATTCAAACTGCAAGTCGAGCTTGTCCTCTGCGACGATCTCGAATTCCCGTACGATCTAAATGAAAATCAATCAATGACACAGACGCGGATAACAGTAATTTCTGTAGAAATCCCTTAGAAATCCCTTAGAAATCTTTTAAAACATCATCAATTCACTCCGATTTCACTAAGTTTCTTCGTTCTCTTTTCGCGTCTTTCCCTTTTTTTTCTTATTATAATTTCACTATACTCTGTGCGCGCATACCTTCGCTAGAATAAGCTCCAATGCGAGGTCCGCAAATCGTTTCCCCGGACATATCCTTCTACCGATGCCGAAAGGCGCCACCAGTAAAGGTGACATAGGCACTGTCGGTCTCAGCCATCTCTCCGGCTGGCACTTGGACGCGTCTTTGAAATTCTCCTCATTCATACCCGCGATCCACGTATGCAATAATACTACTGTCTGAAATTACAAGAATTACGAATTGCACAACCCTACGTTCCCACAGTACGCGAATATGCATAAGCGCAACTTAAAACTTACTCCGGGTTCGAGGCGATACTCTTCCAGCTCGAGAGGCTCATCTAGTATGCGGGCTATGCACGGTGTCGTGGGCATCATTCTGAAACGTGAATCAATCACGTCTACGTAACGTAACGCATTTGCGGATATCTCATATTGTGTGTCAAGGAAAAAAGAAAATTTCTTGTCTTGCTGCTACAGATTTTGGAAATCTTTATCATCGATTAATGTGGAAACTCGTCCCCTCTGAAAAAGGAGTTCCCGAGTCCGTTTGTGTCTTTGATACGTAAAGTTATTTTTTGACGATTATAAATCTACAAAGAAAAATTCTGAAACGTGCATTAGTCGAGTTTACACAAGGTGAAACGGTCACGAATATTATGCATTATCATGTTACGACGCGAAAAGGGAAGGAATCTCCGGACCTATTTGTGCCTTCGTAAGATCAGTCGTTTTCACGACTGTAAATTTACGAAGAGAAACAATTGTGTACGATGACGTATGGAGAGATAGACGGTCATTAAAACGTACCTATAAGATTCCATGATGCAGGCACGCAGATACTTCGCCTTTCGTAAATCCTCAATCCTGATGTCGCAGCCAGGAGGCGCCAATGACCGCACCTCCTCATAGAGAGTTGCTTGTACTTCAGGGTTCTTACCGATCATGTCGAAAAGATACATCAGCGTGTTGCCTAGCTGCAAAAGCGCAATGTGTGCGTGTTTTTAAATCTGCCCGTCCGATTAAAGCCCCAAAAAGATGTCAAGATGCAACTATAAAATGTGAAAACTAAATTTTGCTCGTGACCGCGTTATCAAGTCGGTTTTCCTGCGTGACAATATATATTGGGGGCTTGCAAAAGTTGGTCGGATTTTTAACCGTATTTTTTTATTGATAACAACGAAATAGGACATGTGTAATCAAAGTATTTGCCATCATTATTCACTAATGTCTGCTTTTATCTTTTCAGGTAAATGTTTAATTCCGCGTCTGTAATATCTGTTAAATCCGTTAAATCAATGAGACCATTGACGATCCGACTTTCGCAAGCTAATATATTAAAATGTAATATAATGTCCTCACTGTGTGTATGCCCGCTGCAATAAAATCCACTATAGCAGCTTTCTTATCCCTCATGTCGAGCTCCTTGTGTCGTAAAATAGATAGGAACACCGCCTCGATAGAATCGTCTTGGGCGTCATCCACTTTCTCCCGCATACTCGTCTCAATGAACTCCGAGATGATGCTAAGCAGGAAGAAAGGAACGATGAGATGGTCGATTCTTCCTTAGCAAGAATGTCGAGGAGGATTCCTAATCGTCACGAGCATTTCCGACTTTCTTCAATATTAAATATCTTTAACAACGCCAGGCGTCATATAAAGTTATCATATTTTACTTTTCAAGTGGAATTCCATTGGGAAAAATTTAGAGAATATATAAGATTGTAAAAATCGATCAAGCTATCCAATGTTAAAGCACAAGTAACGTTTAATCTAATTGGTATCCAAATTAAATTACAAATCAAAGTATCAAAGTCAAAATAAAACAGAAAGCAAAGCTTTTTACCGTTACCTATTTGCACCTTTGAAACTTAATCTCGAGGCTTATCACTTGTTAAATTTACAGACCATTCGTTCCTCGACATTTTTGTTCAGAATAAATCGAATCAGTCGAAGAGCTCATAGACAAAAGGCGATCCGGGACACCCTGTATAGTTGTCGAATCGGGCGGCGATTTAATTGTACGAGACGCCAATCAACCGTTTAATATCGCACCGACATCAAACGTACTTGTATATAGTGTCCTCGCTCTCTATCAACTGCCTGTACGAGGATGTCGGCAGCAGCTTCCAAAATGGCAAACCGTAAAAGGCATCGCGCATGGCTGTGAAGTGGACCCTGAGCGCCTCCGCTAATTTAGTCGTGAGCATGCAGCTAGAATCCGGTTTAAGGAAGCCCAAATGACGTCCCAGGATCAAGGTACATGTGCCTGCGAGCGGAGCGAGAAGTGTCACGTTACTGGTGACCGATCGAGAATTGTCATAACCTCTCACGCGCACGCGAGGACGAGGTACTTCACCTCTTCGACGAAACGATAAGAACATTTTGGAGAGAACAGTCTCTCGAACACGACGCGAAAAAATCCTCGCCGGATGAAGCCTACGGCTTATTTGTTTTACGCATAAATCGTGATTTTCGTGACATTTAAACGATGTTACAGATGAAAGTTAAAAGAAGAAGCATTAAGATCGACAAGATGTTCCTTTAACACATATCCATAGCAATTTTTAATAATTTATATCAATACATATCAATACCTATTAATACTTATATATTAAAATCTATTAATATATATATATATCAGTATATTTAATGATTAATATCTATAATAAATTAATAATTAAAACGTCGAGCATACTTCATGTGCCGACATTGACGTCACGCGAATACGTGTCCCGTATACCTAGGATTAATTAACAACAAAATGAATGATCAACTAAAGCTTTCGGCTAAAAATCGTCCGCGTTAAAGCGAATCACCCGACAATTCGTGGTACGCGAGGAAGCATACCAACGACTTACTCTCGAGTCCCATCCTGTGAGCTATATCCTCGAAGCCTTTCACGGTGATGCCCGTTCTTCCTTTGCGAATTAACTCGATGAAATCGTCGGTAACAATATTGAGTGCAGGAAAGAAACTGAACACAGTACTGGCACCGGTGAGTTCGGACGTTAAAGCTGCCCGAAGGTTATGCCATGTCACGCCTTGTCTGTCAGAGTATCACTAATTAGTTGATCATAATTCTCGTGTCCCTAAGCGATCTTTATTTCGAAAACCACGATAAACAGTGCGATAATCGCAGTTCCGCGGACTAACAAATGTATTTTCCGTGTTTTCCGTTCAATAGTCAGATAAAGAACCACACCACAACACGAAACTCTCAAAAACAACGTCTCTCTTTTCACTCTTCCATAAATCACGAATTAAAAAGTCGAAAAGCTCGTTTCTAAATCGTCCTAAGCCCAGGCTTGCACGAAGTGAATATTATCGGTGACATCGTGAAAAGTTATAGAGCGAATTGTTTGAAATGTACATTTTTAACGAATATAAACTGTAAGTGACGTTACAAGAAAGGAAAACTTCATGAAAATCTTTATCTTTTTTATTATTCAAATTTAAAATGTGATTTTCTCTCTTTCTCTCTGTCTCTCTCGTCAAGATTTTCTGATTCATTTCTTCATATTTTAAAGCTCAAGCCTAGGACGGATATATAAGCTCCTCGCTCATGACTTCTGACGCAAACGCGATCATGACCTCTGACACAAACGCGACGGTGCGCCCTTCTAACAAAATGATAAATCTTAAAGAGTAGTCTCTCGAACACGACGGATAAAATCTCACGTCGGATAAAACGTCAGATTGCAAGCCCGTCGCTTATCTTTGTTACGTATAAATTATTATTTTCAATAAATTTAAATATTATTACAACAGGAAAGTCGATAACACTTCTAAAAACGTCTCTTTATCTCACAACACGAAGACCGATATAAAAGCTTCTTCATTATAATGAAAGAATGATTCGCTGCCACCATCATCAGCGAACGGAAGCGGCGCATAACGTGCGAATACGCACGCGGTATTTCTCACGTGGTCGATAATATTGATAGCACCTGATAACACACTCGGCCGATTCGAATCAAATCAATGTGGCGATCAGGGTGTCGACCCACCAGACTTTACCGCGCAAGTAGTACGCGAGTGTAACACCGATCCAGAGTTACACGTACCGAAATTACACGCGACCTTAAACTTGATCTCGATACGGCGTGGCGACGTAATCACGCCGACAAAGAGAGAATGAGAAAGAGAGAGGAAGAGAGGGGGAGAGAAAGAGTGTGAATATGAGTACCCGTGCGACCAGCTATAACCAGCTTTACTCACTCATTGACAATGCCGTAGTTGGTGTAACGATCGCGTCGTGTTCTCCGGTAGTAGCATATGATTTCCTGCGGAGGACGAAGCGGGTATTTCGTGCTCCGTCGGAGAACGGTCTCGATGTCGTGACGGGAGAACAGGGATATCACGAGGCGGTTCCACAATGCCTCCTCCTTGCACAGCGCACCATATCGCCGATTCAGATCTACTCTTGAATCAGTGATAATAAACCATGTTAAAATATCATATACCGACGAACATCGTGATACGTGATTCCCGTACGACGAGGACCTTACCCGTCTAGAAACTTGTGTCATGCTCCTGATTAGATCAATGAGTTATCTGGTTTGTATAAAGTGGTGTTATCGGATCATGATTATCAATGAGATTCTAATTATTAATCATTTTTATTAACAATAAAGTCTTGATTGACGCCACACTGCGTCATATAATTTATAAGCATCCGATAATATATCATCTTATAGAAACCAGATAATTGATTAGGATCAACTCGATCAGAATCATGGGATAAGTTTCTAGTCGGATAACAGCAATCCGCCAATCCATGCTGCGATCTATTGGATATTTGTCTTTGCGAATCGTCGAATTCGCCATTTAGCACTCAGACCAAATCAAAGATCAGATGGAAAGAGATGCAATTTACTTCTTGTTAATTTTGTTAACAAATCTCTTCGAGTGAACTTTTATTCATTTTGAGCGAGATTTCACTCAAAGAGATTTAGAGAATGTGTGTGTCTTATATTTTTTTGCATTTCTAGATAATGTTTGCAATTGACTTGACTGGTGTGTTTTTCCAATTCTTTGCTTGTTATCACAATTCTAAATATAAACATTAGCTTAAAAGAGTACGCCAAATAATTCCCATTAAATCTTCGCCTCGTCTCGGTGATAACGAATCTCAAGGAAGTAAATTTATAAGTTTACACAAATATTAAGTGGCACAATCGAAGATAACTGATGAAATTCGAAATAGCTCTGTTCATTATATACTTTAAATCAACGTGACATAAGAGGATTGTTTTTTGACTACGGTAGCAATCTTTTTCCTCCTTTCACTCTCTCCCTCTCGCTCTTTTTCTCTCTCTCTCTCTCACACTCTCTCTCTCGCCCTCTCGCAATTTTAGCAACTCACTGTCGATAAGATACCGTAAGTATCTTTGACCCTGACCCTCTAAAGATACGCGCGTGTCCCGTACGCGCGGTTCAACGGCGCGCGTTTCTCTCTCTTCTCCTCCTCCTTGTTTGTTTCTTTTCTCTTTTCTTTTCGCAAGACAGGCGCATATAATCGCGGTCGAAATCGAAATTATTAATATATTCGCGAGTCGAACAGGAGGCACGGCTGTTAATTAGCACATAATGAACCATTTTCGCACGCGTCATCTCGGTCCCCTTTTCTCCTTTCTTTCTTTACACTCCCCATCTCCCATTCTCTCACTCGTTCTCCCTCGCGCTCACTCCCTTCCTCGCGTTCACCGCGGCGCAACCTTGAGATATCATTAGCACCGGTCGAGCTGAAGAGGCGCACAAAGAAAGCCTAACAGCGTCTAACAATGAGGAGCGTCGCGATCGATAAGGGTGCGAAGGCCAAAGTCCTTACCTTTGTACGCCTCGTGGATCTTGTTCATACGGTAATTGCCACAACAGGAGTATATCCACCTGGTGCCCACAATCGGCAGGGCAAACGGGCCCGGCACGTCGCGCGCTGTCTTAAACTTCCTGCTCTTGTCGCGTGCATCTGCGAATAAATTTCAGAGCGTGCCGAAAAAATTTCCAGGTGGATACGACGGAAGTGATTCGCAACACCGTTTTTCTCCAAAGGATGCTTGCCCAGGTGTAAAAGCTTCGTCGCGCTTCTTCTACGCGCCGCTTCAGGTTTTGAATTTTTCGTACAGGGAAAAAGCGAGAAGTCTCTCTCTTTTTCTCCCCTTCCAAGGGGAGAGAGTTCAAGGCAATCGCGGCTATTTTGATTAATAAACATTACGAAATTGTGGTAATTTCGTTTGCGACTGTGCTCGACAAAGCTTTTGCGTTGGTATAATATCATCCTCCTCTTATCCTTCGCACGATAAACACAGTAGTATCGACGGGAAACGAAAGAAAAAATAAATTGTGAATTATCAAGCGTAATTAAATTATCACAATGACGTCAGAGCGTTAAGCAGCTGATCGCTGTGAAATAAAACATAAAGTCGCGAATTCGAAGACGCCACAATGAAGAGTTCTGCCAATCGCAACCAAGAGGTTCACAATGACTTTAGATCATGCGGAGAAAAGGAGCAGCAAAAAAGGCACAGGTGCGAAAGCGCGAAACACGAAAAGAGGAGAGACGTCGTATCTTTTTTGCTTACCGTAATTGGCATTATTGTTCCTGTTCCAAAACCACCAAGGTGGCCGGCAACCGGTAGCCAGCACCAAAATCGTGAGCAGTATCGTTGCGATTGTCTCGAACCACGCTCCGGACAGCATCTTCCAATTGAAATCCTGCACCAGGAGATGAAATGATCGGTAAGGAGATGTGTGTGCGTGTGCGCGCGCGCGCGTCTCTCTTTCACTCTCCCTCTTTCTTTTTCGCGATCGCGATCGCCGCCACCGCCGCCGTCGCCGTCGCCGATCGTCGCGGATTCCGCGTGGCGCGAAGAATAATTCTCTCTTATCGTGATCGCGCAAGAGCCGCCCGCCGCCGGCTTCTCGATTATCTCGTTACCGCGCGCGAAACACTTGTCTCCTCGCGCGCGAGCATGTCTCCGTAGATATAGTACGGCGCGTAAGTAAAACGTCGAGAGCATAAACCTCGCTCGCGCGTTTTGAGTCATTATTTGGACACACACTCGCCGTCGCCGTTGCCGCCGACGGGCGTCTGGAAGAGGAGAAAGAAGGCACCGAGCGACTTTCCACGATGACGTCTTCTTGGTGATTCGTTCATAATTAACACGTCGACTGCCGCGGGAGTCCGCGGTGGCCCGCGCTATAATGTCGCCGATTTATTATAATATCTCGATTTTGATCACGCGCAAAACGCCTCGAAGTTTTACACGTAGAATTCACAATTATTCTTGAAGTTTAATTTACATAGAAAACGCGCAACCAATTGCCAATATACAAATGAGATATATAATCAACAGAAAGAGTCAATGAAACAAGCTGTCGAATTTATTTGTCGTTTGCGTAGCTTTAAATATCTTTATGGAACATATTTTATATATTCGCGTCGAATATTTAAAGTAGATATTCAAATCGTAGTCATTTACAGTGCCTTGGGTGATTTAAATTTCAGTCGAGCGTTGAACTGAGAATTAGCGTAACAATCGACGTGTTAATCTCCGCGCGCGTGAAGGGCTTGTCACTCGGCCGCGTCGGTTTTTCGTTCCTACGCTCTCATTTCCCGGCGAAATTCATTTCTCTCCTGGCCGATCGACTCGAATTCTCGATCCTCGCGAATAAATACACGCGCTTATTCAACGAGTTACACGACCGGTCGCGTTGGTGGACTTTGTACGCCGCTCAGACTCAAGACAGGAATCTCGCTGTTTCAGGAAATCGCGCAATCGGGACGTTATTAGGGATTTTCACGATCTGACAATCAGACAAACAGAGAAAACAGCGTTGGTCTCGCGAATCGTCCAGTGGGCCATGCCCGTCCAAGGCTGGCAGATACCGAAAGGGTCCACTCAAAAAAAATGGTCTTGCAATTATAGTAAAATTTATCTAGATACGAGAAATTAGCTGAGATGGATAAATGATTAACAAACGCTGCGATATCGCATGGATCTTGTATTTAATCAATATAAATGACAGAGACAGAATTTCCACCTGAATTATTTGTAAAATTTAGCAAGGAACTTCCTCCCTTTCTTTCTCTGTGCCGCCCATTCAGATTAAAGCTAGTCACGTTTCTTATAACAACTGACTGTGGCAGACGAAAAAGACTAGCGACAGGAGACAAACGAATATACAATCCTCACACCGACCTAAATTTGCCTGCGGATATTGCTGAAATGCTACTGCAAATTCTACGTATCACGAAGAATCTTCCAGCAGATATAAAAGACAGCGGTAAATTCCAACTGTGACATTTAGAGTTCCACCTGGATCAGCAAAACAATTTTTTGAGTGGGGTATCGAGAGACAAAAGAAAGGATGATTTGAATGGTACTCGCGAAACAAAATAAAGAGTACCCACGGTAAGCGCTCTCCCCCTCTGTGGTACGGCCGATAGAACGACAGGTGTTCGCTTCTGGCAAGCCGCAGATTTCGCGCGTCCGACACTCGCTCGAGTCAGTCGCGATCGACGAGGGTTTCTCGCGGCGGTTTCGCGCGAGAATTCAACGAGGCGTCACTCGCGCTTCTTCGATTCAGCACTAGGATACGGTGCGAGACGGTGGTGCGAGAGTAGGAGGAGCCGCGAAGCTCACGCATTTTCGCGATCGCTAATTCTCACCGATGGCGGAAAGAGGGAAAGAAAGTGAGAGGGACGAAGGGAGAGGTACGAGAGGAAAAGGGGAGTGCAGAGTGCAGAGTGGACGACGGAGTAAAGAGCGAGAAAGAGCGGACAGCAGCAGCCGCTCGCGGATCTTTTCGCGACTGACTGAGTGCCCCAGTGTTATTTGCAGAGACCGCGATTCTCTTCTATTTACAATTCACCGATAACGCGTGTTGCCCCGATGATCCCACTCACTTTCCTCACCTCTCTCTCTCCCTCTCCCTCTTTCTCTCCCTCGTCTTCTCTCCGCCCCGCTCATTCTGAGTCACCGGGGCTCGGTATCGGAGCTGTTACACGGATCGGGGAGAAAATAGTTAAACGATATCGCGATAACCGTGTAATTGCGGGCCGCACTTGCGATGCCGTACAGTAAGTAACGAGGGGTGAAGGTTCGAACGATCTATATACATATATTATGTACCATGTGTATGCACGCATGTATGTTACGCATGTATGTAACGCATACACCACTCGACGACATTCGCGACTCGGCCCGATGATTTGCAACGCGTAAAGCTCAGATACGCGTCGCTCGCGAAAACAGTGTCCAGGGTAGCATTCCGTTAAGGGACGTCTACATTGGAAGTAAATAGCAAGAAGTAGGAAGTAAGAGTAAGAAATTCACCAACCACGGTCGAATGTGAGAAGAATAATCAACTATGATTGGTCAATTTCTTATTCTTACTTCCTACTTCTTACTGCTTACTTCCAATGTAGACGTTCCTTTAGACTCGTGGACCTCAGAAGGATATTCCGTAGGACCGCAACCGCGTAGTCTTCCTCGTCGCGAAATCCCATAACCCAATACCATCAATAACCCAAGGCGGATTCGACTTTGTAGATTCCACGTCCAGGTAAATCGGAGGGAGCGCTCGTACGAAACACAGTAGACAGCGGTTGTAGTTCGGAAAAGTAGAGAAAATCGCCGGAGAGGAAAACATCGGAGGTAAGAGATAGGCAGGCGATCTGCCGCATTCCACGCCCGCTTCTTGTAGCGGTTTCCACGAGGTAAGTTCCGAACCTCTTGACCGGCTACATTGTTCGTTCATTAATGACGTTAATTAAGCACACCGCTACGTAAGAGCCGTCTCGCGCTCTGGCACGGTATCCTGTGCTTACCTGCCGGCGATGGGAGTCTTCAGGGACGGTATCTCCCTAAGAACGTATTTGCTGTGTGTATGTGCACATGTGTGCGCACATCGCGGGGGAAAATTAACTCCGTACGTTTCCGTAAGCAAATTTGAAAGCATGTCCTTTTGCGATTTTTTTTATTAACTGGTTGCTCCAAAAGAGAATACCAAGTACTTTGTTGATCTTACAAGAAAATTTCTACATTATATTATTATTATATATTCTATGTTATATAAAACAGAAAATGTCTATCTATTTCTTATAAAATTTCAACTCTTTGACCGATCAGGATGAAATTTTGCACGGTTACTGTCTAGAACCCTGCGGAAAATATAGCCTACGTAAAGCCTGGACGCATATCCCACTCTCCTCTTTCCCTGATTTCATCCCCTTGACACTCTGTGATAATTTAAGTTTATATGTTCTAGATATAAGAAGCTCGGATAGTTTATAAGCTAATTATATTATTATTATAAAAATTTCGTAAAATTCGCGCAAGCTAATTTGCGATCAATGCCGGCTACCAGAAGCGCGAATTCAATGTCACGTGAAATAAATCTGCCACAGTCGCGATCGGCCTTCTTCCTTTTGGTTCACCTATTTGTGCAGGGTCCCGCGTGCAGCGCGCGAACCTGTTTAATCTACGCTTTACTACGAATGGACTATTCTTAGCTCGCGCGCGAACCAGAACTGGCGATTTTCCGATCGGAATCGAGCTTTGGATCGAATCTCTAATAAAGGTCTAATAAAGAGCGGAGCGAAACGTATCGCTTTACATATCTCGCGGAACCAGTCCTACTGGCGAAAAGAAAGAAGATAAAGTGCCCGATGCGGTTGTCGAAAGCTCCCTTTTCTCTCTTTACCTTTCTACATATCTCTCCCTATACGATCTCTATTTTCCGCTGCGATACGCGCGCGGGCTCTCGCTGAAAGTGAACCATGCGCGCGAGAAAGAATCGCGGAGACGCCCGAGAAGGAAAGAACGCAGATCGGCTGCGAATTATCGCCGGGCAATCTGTCTTGAGAAAAAAATAACAACGGCGTAATGGAAAAATTGGATAACCATGTATGTAATTTAATGTTTTACATAATAGAATGGCTCGCCTCGTCCCGGAAAAATTACATGCGGCCTACATAATAATTAGATAATAATCGCTGAATTAATATATGTAGCGTGAACACGCGTGCGCGTCGCACATGCATAGATTCGCGTGGCACCAGATGAGATATTTTCGTCCCATTAAATTGGACAAATTTCACGCTGTGGTGCACGCACGCACGCACGCACGCACGTACCGGGCTCGTATTCGCGGCGTAGATAACGAACGCGCGGCTAATTGTGTGCGAAGACTTTGGAATGGCAGAATGTCGCCGCCGCCTGCCGAAGTAAATAAAGTATTATTGCTCCGGAGCAATTGAGAAAGCGCGAGAGACGAAAGAGAGAGAATGAGAGTGAGAGAAAGGCGGGAGAGAGAGAAAGAGGAAAAAAAGAGAGAGAGAAAGAGAGAAGAACGGGGAACGGGGAAAATAATCGGCTGGGATGCGCTCGATTACGACTCGTCACGACGACGACGATCACGACAACGACGACGACGACGACGACGACGACGACGACGATGCTGATGATGATGATGAAAACGACGGCGGTGGCGACGACGACGACGCTGATGATGACGATAACAACGACGACGACGACGACGACGTAACTAGATTGTTATCTTTTCCTCTGACAAACGCGTTTCTCTCCAGGAGCGCGAGCGCAAAGAGTGTGCGTCGTGTAACTTAGTAGTTTATAATTTTATATCAATTGCCTGCTACGTAAGACCACTTTCAGTCAGCTGTGACGTGTAATGACAGCCTCCTTAGCTCGTGCGGGCACGGTTTTCTCTCGAGGAAAGTGCCTCTCGACGCAGCGGCTAGATAATTTTTGAGGGTATACGATCGTACACGGTATTTCCGTGGGTTTCATGCGCTAAAAATTAAGATCGGGAATCGCGAAACGTCTAGCGGTATTCGTACGGTATTTGTATACAAACTGCGTACAGGACGCACACAGCAGCTTGTCCTGCAATATTTACTCTTCTTGTCAAGTCGGCCGCGTGCTACGGCGCCATCGGTAGACATTGCAGGTTCGCTCTTATGTTTTCAAGTGAGACAGTTTGTATACAAGCGACTTCCGCACAACAAATAAATCGCTCGAGGTAAATTCGACACTCTCTCCCTCTTTCTCTCTTTTTCTTCAGAGCAACCATCTGCGTATTCCGTCCGTGTAAGAGTCTGATTTCGTTACCGGACAAGACAATGGTTGCAAAGCTGCTGTCACGCCTTCTGGTAGCATCATTCAAATATTCGCTATTTAAACATCACACTTAGAAATATCGTAATTTAGACATGTAAACTGCACGCGCGTCTTCGGATGTCTTGTGTACAGTTTTCCCAACAAAATAAACATTATTATTATGATATCCATATAAAAGTGCAACTGCACCTTTGCATGCACAAATCGAAGTTAGAAAATTAAGAAAAAAAAATGGTCAGTTTTGTTATTTTGTTAGAACTTTATGACGGTCGATTCTACCTTTTTTTCAGTCACCAATGGAAAATCTCCCGGAAAACTGGTTCATTACTTCGGCTTATTAAGTAACTTAGTAAAGTTAACAATTAGTAATCCGCTAATGAGCAATTCGCGGAAATTTGCGGTGCGCACGGCGATTTTTCGCCACGGTCGTCAATTAAAGGAACGACACCCCGAGAGGAGCTTGAATAATGTTGTGCGCGCGCCTCGTTAATAATACAGCTACGACTGTAATCTATTCTCGGGCGCCGCTCAATCATAAATTTTATTGCTTAGCGTTACTCGGCGTTTTTTCCCGCAATACGTGTGTGCGTGTGTGGGTGTGTGTGTCTATGTGTGTGCGTGCGTTGCACGGTATCTCCACGAGCGGCTATCAGCTAGGTATGAAATGAATTAATTACGTTCTATTTTCGCCCGTAACACATTGTATTTATGTATCCGCGGATCATTAAACACGATTTTCTCTATGTAACGGTTCGGCTCAGAGAGAGAGAGAGAAAGAGAGAGACACGACGAACTGCGTATCCGCGTTAAAACACACCGTCCCGCTCCCGACTAAGATCGGCGAGGATTTCCCGCCTGGAAAATCGTCTCACGCAATCGTCTCATCTTCTCGATCAAGTGAACTAGATCGGTAAAAATTTCGTCGCGCATATGTAACGCTTAATACGAGACGCGATAGCACTGTGCGTTCTCTCGCAAACCTCAAGTAGAAAAATTTCCAGCAAAAACTGGTCACTAGCCCGGTTAGTTTTTACTGGCTAGGATTTATTAGACAGTAACTATTCGAAAACTATCGACAGGAAAATACTGACCAGTATTTCTTGGCTCGTTACCGGCTCGAAAACTAAGACAATAAAAAATGGTAGTTAAATTCTGGACAGTTTTTATGTTCAATAAAAATTCGAGAAGCATTTACTAGATAAAAGAAAAAAATTATTAAAATTAATAATTAATTATCATTAATAATTAAAAATAAATTAAAAATGAAGCTGCGATATCATCTCAATAATGAGTAAATTTGCGCGTGAAAAGATTCTATCTTCTGAAACACAAGTTTCGCATTATTTTTATATTGAATAACAAAATATAATGTCCTCTATAAAATCGAACGAGCACTTTGCAGAGTTTTGTACAAAAAGATGTTTGCTAGTCAGCAACTGACTAGTTTCACTGTCCAGTTACTAATGAGGCAAGCATCGCCTAAACTGACTCGAAACCAGCTCTAGTAACCAAAATTGAATAAATTAAAATTCCTGGCCGAGCTTATGTCGGCCAGGAAGAGGTCGTTTTTTTCACTCGGGTTATTGGTATTGCTCGTTGGTATCGTCGCGCGATACAACGAGGCAGAGAGGCGGCGTGTTTACCGAAAGTGAAATTGACAAAGCGTGAGCGCAAATATCGGCGCCCCTTCCCGGTGCGTCGCGGAAGAAACGCACGAATCCAGACGCTGGCGACTGTATTATCGCGCCGGGCGACCTATTTGTCGGACCGGCGACTATTTGCGTTCGATAACCCACCGATAAGTACTTTCCCTACTTGTATTCGCACCGCGATCCGGGAGCGGCGTAAATAACACACGCTCGATCAAGGAAGTCTCGGAACGAGCGAAGAGCGTCAGCGAAAAGGTAGCAGCAGGAGCGGCGCTCTCGTTCCCCGCGAGATTCGCGCTCGAATTTCGCCGGCCTAGGCGCTCTTTTCGGCAGTTACGTAACGAGGAACGCACGAGCTCGAGAGAGGAAGCTGCCGACAGAATTGAATTTGTGCGATCAAATGGGGGTCTAATTCTTAGTTGTGAGACTTAAGGCTCTTCAAGCGAATCCGCTTGCAACTCCGAGATAATTAAAATTCGTTTCAATTCAAGTAAATTGACGTGAAATTTACTTGAAGTCAATTTTCACGAGAAGCGTCCTTTCCGCGCACAACTCTCTCTCTCTCTCTCTCTCGTCCTTCGGATTCCTCAACCTCCCCGCGATTCTCCACGATCGTTTTCGAACAAAGCAACTCGTCGGCATCGCTGTGTGTGGAAGCCACCTCCAAATACGGTCCTTACGATTTCGAGTTTCCGGAACACGCGGTAAACACGCGGGTATATAAAGGTGATGCGCGCGCTATGCGCCGTGCACAGAGACCGCGCGAATTGCACTCGCCGTTTCCGTATAACGTTGTTCCTCCACCTCTTCCTCCTTCTTCTCTTTCTCCTCTTCTTCTTCCTCTTCTTCATCTTCGTCGTCGTCGTCATCGTCGTCGTCGTGACGTGGTCATTCGCGAAATTGCGATTCCCGTTTCGCGATTACCGACGTTTACGGTACGGTCTATTCTCCGGCCGTGTACGTAATCGTTCGCGCATCGGAGCAAGTTACCACGCGTGTCAACGGCACTTAACATTCCGCAAGTAAAATGATTGACCGCCGCGACCATCTCGATCCGCGAATGACCGGTCGCTCGACATTGCGAGCGCCGGCAAATTAAATGAAGGGCTGGCCGGAAAAGCATCGGCGAAGCGCACACGGCAGCGGACACCGCAGGAAGAAAGCGTGACAAATTTTTAAAAAGAAAAGAAAAAAACGAGAAATCCAGGAGAGAAAGAAACAAACGCGCTGATTTTGATCGGAAAAACGAAAGTTCGACGATCAAAATGCAAAAATAAACGGTTTCGAGACGCGCTTTGTTCTACTCGCGAGTACACAAAACTGTTATTCAAGGTTAACGATCGCGAATGAACATTTAAACATCTACCGTGTACTTGATGAAAAAACGTCTGTTTAGCAAAAGGTGACAACAGATACAAACATTATGTTTTTGTATCTGTCGTTTTTCGCTAAAGTTATCTCTTTTTTTCTTCTTCTTCTTCACCGGAATCGTCACCTTATCCCTTTCGTAGGACAAATTCAAATTCAACGTTTCCGTTTAGTCAAGTCATTGACTTGAAATATTTTATATTGGCGTGGAGAATGAGCGAGGCGAATGATCGGGCATCTCCATCCGACTAATCACGATGACCAATCCTGATTACACACTTTTGCACCTTCACGCGCGTGTAGCCCGAATAACCCGTCGGAGAAGTCTCAATACGAATTCGAATCCGGATCGATCTGAAGTCAAGTCCGAGTCGATCAACGACTTCAATCTCGTTCTTTGCGTGAGACCTCCTCGCCGACGTTTCCTTTCTTTCCTTTAGAACGCAACGCGGAATCCTCAGCTCGGGTCCACGCGAATCGCGGAAGACCCATTCGCGCAACATGCTCGAGCGCACTTTTGATCGATCGATCGTAGCTTTCCGTCGCGCGGAAAATTCAAGCCCGCTTTCGGCCGTTGGATCGCACTCTTGACGCGTATTCGAACACCAAGTACGCCCCTTGTATTCCAAGCTTTAGCTTGAGAATCCGCGCGCAAAGGCGTGAAGAGAACTTACGACCCCGGATTTCCACGAGGCGGAAAATTTGAGCGCGCTTCCGCGTCGCACGCACGCACGCACGCACCTTCCCACAACGGTAGAACAACAACAACAACGACGATGAAGACGACGACATCCGCGTTAATTGCCATAATTACCATGACGTTGTAGCTCTGGCACGACCGACAACACCTCGCACCTTGTCTCGCCTGAAGATCCTTCTCTTCTTCTCTATATCGATCAGCGGATCGTGCGCATAGCCCGTGCCCGTCGCGCGCGCACTATCTCTCCGGCGACTTATCCACGCCGAATTATTCTCTCCTCTTCGTGTACACGCCGCGGTTCGGCGACGATCGTCCCGAGCCGATCGGCCGATGCGCGCGATCGACGCGATCGGGAGTCTCACGCTCTCGCTCTCGCGCTCGCGTGCGCGCACCGCGGACCCGGAAATCCCGAACGCCTCGCTCGCGTGCTCGTGCCACAGGTGGTGGTGGTGGTGGTGGTGGTGGTTGATGGCGATGGTGCTGGTGGTGGTGGTGGTTGTTGGTGATGGTCGGGTGCCGGGATAAAAACGGACAGACGGCCGCAGGAAGGCACACACGGGCCGTTCATCTTATAGGGTGTCTCGTAAAAAGCGGGATCGCCGCGGCAGGAATGCGTTCTTCCTCGCGAGCGAGCGCGCGACCGATCAGTCGATCGATCGATCGATCTCGCATCTCTCTCTCTCTCTCTCTCCCTCCCTTCCTCCCTCCCTCTCTCTCCTCCTCCGTCCTCGCCTTTCGCTTGACGAAATTTTCATAGGAAAGCCGACTACCGCGCCGGGAACGCGATCTCGCGCGTCACGCTTTTCGCGGCATTTCCCGCGGTATTTTCTTTTCTTTTCAACGCTGTGCGAGCTTAAGGACACACGCAGGTGGAACTTTTCCCTCCTTATTTCTGTCTCTCTCTCTCTCTCTATCTGTCTATCTATCTTTAATTGCGCTTACGTTCTGGCGCGGCACCTGCAGTGTTTCGAAATATGTAACAGCGTGTGTAAGCGATAGCGTGATTAAGTTGCTATTTATTTGTGTTAGGATGACGTATATCACGTGGAAGAAATTAAAACTTCGCACGGTTAAGTAGAAGCTAAGCACGCCGGGCGATTACCGTTGGATTCTGCAGAGAAACGTTCTCTTCTCTATCATGTCAGATAATGAACTCTAATCACAATGTTTGTAATTAACGCAAATTACGTGTATTGACACAGAAACGTGCAATTTTACAAGATTGCAACAACGTTCGCGTCTGAAAACTTAGTACGATTAATCTTATCGTGTCTCGTCGTTTATTCAGACACACCGACATCCTGGTTCGAGATTTATGAGGGTCCTTCGAAAGACGTGAGTTGTCGCATGTCCTTGACAATCTTGACGAGGTTGTAATGCTTGACGGCCGCGTGGTGCGCAATCAGAGCGCGAAACGCGTTAAAATGTATCGAGGAAATCACTTACGGACTTCAAGCGCGTTATCATCCCCGTCGTTGTCGTCGTCGTCGTCGTCGTCGTCGTCGTCGTCGTCGTCGTCGTCGTCGTTGTCGTGATGGTGGTGGTCGAGGTCGAGATTCAGCTGTTGGCACTAATAACACGTAACCGGATTAAATGCGCGCGACTTTGCGCGCGACACCTACCGCGGGAAAATTGAGGGAACCAGAGGGAAAGAGAAAGAGCGAAAAGCAGCCGCGTGGTCGTCTGCGAACTGCCGCGACGACGACAACGGTGAACGTATATACCCTGCTCGTCGAGCGGCCGCGGCGGCACTGATCCCAAAAAGTTCCTCGGGAACCCTCGCGTTTTCCAAAAACTCCGAAAGCGCTGGCAGGGGTGGAGGAGGTGGAAAGACCGAGTCGGCAGTCGATGGAGGTGGAGAGACGCTGCGGAGGAGCAGAAGGAAGAAGTGGAGGACAGGGAGACCGAGGAACGAGCTGGTTAAGAAGAGAGGGCCGTGGATCACAGACGGATGGACGGAGAGGGACACGCGGATGCCCGGTACCAAGGGAAGGGAGGCAAAGCCGCGGGCCCGGACTCGAGAGTGAGAAGAGAAGCGGCGCGAGAGGCACCAGACTGTGAAGGAAGAGCGGAGAGCGCGAAGAGGAAGAAGAAGAGGCGCCGAGGAGAAAACGAGAGAGAGAGAGAGAGAGAGAGAGAGAGAGAGAGAGAGAGAGAGCTAAGAGGAGAAGAGGAACGCGTGTCCGGCGAATGGAGCTTTAATCGTCGCTAATTGCCGTATTGTTCAGCGGATCGATCGGATTTATGAATGGTGGCAGCGAGCGCGCGAGTGGACACTAGCCATAACTAAAGAGATCGAAGAGGAGGAAGAAGAAGATGATGATGATGGTGATGATGATGATAATGATGATGATGAAGATGATAAAGAAAGAAAAGACAGAGATCCCCATTTCTCTCTCTCTCTCTCTCTCTCTCTCTCTCTCTCTCTCTCTCTCTCTCTCTCTCCGTGTCTCTTCCTCGAGAAGAAACGGGATGCTTGAGGCCCTGTCGGGTTCGTCTCGACACTCTCGGAGACGAACTCTCTTATCTCCTCGTCCTCTCTGTTTACATGCCCCGTCGTGCCCTGTCCGGTCCCGCGACATGGTTGGCTGCTACGCTGGTGGGGCCCATGGGTTCCAGTGGGAACCCACGATCGCGGTGGGGGTTCCGGATGACGGACTGCCCGGAACGGATAGCAGCAGATGGCGCTGAACGTCCCTGCGACGAGGAAGATTCACGTTGCCGCTGATCGGCGAGATGATACTCGGCATCCGCTGTGCACGGGATGCTGTAAGTATCTTCGCTCCCTCGCATTCCATCTCCTCTCTGTCCCTCTCCTCTTCCTAGACGAAAGTAGCGTTCGGGTCGCCGCGAGTGCGTCCGCCTTCATGAACTTCCCTGTCACATCTTCCTCTGTCCCGCGAGCCGCAAATAAGAAACACAACGGAAAACAGGCTTCTCCGGAATTTCTTCATCGGATTTCGCTTTCCCTTGTTTTTACCTTCCTTTCTTGGACGAAAGGATTCATCAAGGTACAACCCAAGATCGTCCATGAGTTTCCTAATTTTATCTTCGTTAGATAGACTTTATCTTCTTCCTCTTTGATCGGAGACGCAGAAGAATTCTCCGAGACTCGCCTTCATACTTCAGTCCTCCTTCTTTTCAGCGACGAGCGAGGTACAGCAAATATCTTTGCCCTTGACTTCGCTTCGTCTCCTTCCTTTTCTTCCTGTCGTAATGTTCCTTTCCCAGAATTCCCCCCCAGACATCACCAACGGCGAGAAGGCGCCCTAATTTTTCAGACGACCTTTAAACACGTCTCGGGATCACTTTTGGGCCTCGATAGTGTTTCTGCTACTGACATTATAGCTTTTATATTTCGTCTTCTCTTCTTCCACTTCTCCCAAGAATCCCACAATACAGCACAAAACGCAGCAACATCTGTTTCAAGGGACGTGTCGGGAAGTACGGTGAATACAATGAAATTACTGAGATACAACCGGCCGCAATTAATTCTTCCCGTTCCGACATACTCGTTTGATGACATACTGCAATAATTTCTTCAACGAAACCAGTCGCGCGTATTGAATAAAAGAATAATAGTAAAATTTCTTGAGTCATATCTTCTTTGAAGATAAAACAGAAAGAATTTTCAACGATAATTCATAATTTCCGGACGCGGGGTTTAAGGGTTAATTAACGCTACGAAGAAACAACGATCGCGGGCCGCGACGAAAAAATCGAGCATGGATCGAGAAGTTATCGGCTCTGGTGCAGCGTGCTGCTGACCTTTAAACGTAATCAATTATCCCAGAGAGTAGACCGATTAGATAAATCTGAGACCATGAATATAGACTTCAATGTGCTTCAATGAACTTCACAAGCCGAGGCGATAGGAAGCAAGCTCTGTCGCTTGTTTCGGATTTGAACCCGTCGACCCGCGCGAGAACGATCTCGTAGCTTTAGAGAAGGGTCTCTAATCACAACGAGAAGAGTACGAGAAATACTCTCGAGTGACGCGATAATCCCAGGCCCGCGATGACCCGATATAAGAGGTCACGGCCATGCGAGACGGCACCTAATTTACGCGTCCAAATCGACCTCGCCGTCTCGCGGTGAATTTACGCAATCATGCGTAACGGCCGTCAACCGGATCGAAATGGTCCTCGGTCGTCTCCTCGAAGGGCGTAAACAACTCGAGGCAAGAGAGGCCGAGCGAGATCAAGAAGGGCCAAGAAGAAGAGAGCCAAGAGAGATCAAGCGAGACTCCCGAGAACCGGAGCAAGCAAAAAGCAGGCTCACGCTTAGTGAAGTATCAGCGCGATCTGGTAAATCTGGTAACAATATTTTACTTTGTCGGGAACAAAGAAAGAGAGAGAAAGAGAGAGAGAGAGAGAGAGAGAGAGAAAACGCTAATAAATAAATTAGGTAAATCCGCTGATTCGAGCGAGTGAGAAGATTACAGTGTCGCTGGAGGATTGTTCATTATAATAAATGTATAAGGCAAATGTGTCACGTTTGAGAAGCAAAGGTGCGCATATTATAATTTCAAGCTAACATTTCCTTATCAGAAAAAATGTTTGTTATGTCATCGGCACCTTTTGTTCGCAATACCGATTGTCTAGCCCAATCTCAATGCAAGAGTCATCGCTTACTTCGACAGCTTACTTATCACGGGCAGCTGTCATAGCTGAGATTATGTGTTTTGACAATTCGAACGTTAAGTTGAGTATTGATGAAAAGGATTAAAAGTGAATGAGAGAGATTGAGATAAAGTGAAAAAGAATGAAAGAGATTGAAATCAATTGAGGATTAAGAGGGAATGAGAGACATCAGTAACTTATGCTTTGCGTAATTTGTCAGTAAAAAAAGCATATATGAAATTAGTAAGTTGCACAATAATGCCGTGTTCCTTGGTCTTTGTAAATAATTTCTTCTAACGCTTGAAAAGCATTGAAATCATGTAGTTTTCACGTATGTAACGTCTTTTGAAGATCATAAGATGAAAGAGAGAGAAAGAGAAAAGAAAGAGCAGATCTTTCGTCTAAAATATTTAATTGTAATTAATTTATATAGTCGAGAAAGCTGAGTAGTAAGCGTTTGTAGCTTTATTACGCAGCTTTATTACGATAAAATTCAAATTTCTATGTGAGATAAGTGAAAAGTCGTAATTTCAAACACACTCCCGTCCATTTTTCAGATTTGACATAAAAGAGGTGCATTCGCTCTGGGGAACTGTTACCGGGAAAACTCCAACACGGCTTATTTCCCAAGAGAGGACCGCGGCGCGGCGATAAAGACGCCGATAAAAGAAGGCCTGTACGGTTCGAGGGTTAAATATTCATGTCCCGCCGATATCATAATAGTGTAAGATGGCACGGTGTGTCCGGAGTGGAACGGACGAGACCGCATAGAACGGGCTAGACCGGGTCAGGGGGAAATGATGTAGCTCTATCGCGTGTAGGGGGCGTGAACACGTGGAATGAGACGTCGATTGGAACTCGTTTCGAATCGAACAAAATAAAACGGTCGTGAGCGCGCCGGGACGGCATAGGCCGCGCGAGAGATACGGTATGGTATATGAGGAAGTATACACGAAACACCGTAGAGTCTCTGGATACGAAGAGTCTCGCTGTTCCGAGCCGAGGTGAGTATTCGAAATCGCCGCTCGCGCGAAGGAAACGTCATTTTTCCGCGAAATATTGAACGCTACTGATCCGTCTCGAACGCGCATAACGGGTGAAACGCGCGACGCGCCGTTCCATTTTATTCGATAGTAAGCACCACCGAGGTGGTTCTCGCAACTTTGTAGAGCGCGTTCGGTAGCAATGTGTGGGCGCCCGACTATATGCGTATAAATAAATGTAAAGTATACATATATTAACGACGGGAGCGCGCGCGCGCGCGCACGATTGGGTTATTCTCGAAGTGCACGGTGGTACGTGTCGTTCGTGTTTCTCCGATTGCGTATACGCCTGGCCGGAGCTAAGTTTCCTTAACTAGGTTCAAAAATGCGCCGCAAAATGACTAGCGATTTAATAAGCGACACAATCGATTTCTACGATCTAACGCGACCTCCTTTTTAAACGGCGATTCGACCCAACCGGCCGAGGAAGTATCGCAATATGACGGTTTTAACCCCGCGCCGTTCCGTTAGCGTGACTTTTTTTAACCCGTTTTCATTTTGCAATATCTAAGTAAGTAGGTGTCGCTCCCGATACGCAAATCTCTCGAACGGCCTTTCGTGCGCGTGCGCGCGTGTACGCGCGGTGACATTGTCAAGTTCCAAACGTTAGAACTTTTTTTCAGCCGTACTTCGCGCCGTGCGCAACTTCGCTTAGAAACCAGTTTTTCTAGTTCCCCCATTTGAACGAATGTTAGTTAGTTGGTGGAGATTTCTTTTTTCTCCACTTCTCTCTCTCTCTCTCTCTCTCTCTCTCTCTCTCTCTCTCGTGCTCTGTCTCTCTCTCTCTCTCTCTTTTTCTCTCTTTCTCGAGACGACCGACAACGATGCGTGAATTCAGTCTCGAGAAGCGCCGTCGGAATCAAGGCGTTCGAGGAGAAGAACGTGCGAAGAATTCTTTCTCAGCGCCAACGCTAATTTATGAGCCGTACCGTTACCGCGCGCAATTAAGGAGGTTGTTGAAAAAAGGGCGCATCTCGTGTCCTACGTAGCCGTGGACGCGCGGTCGTCTCTTGAAAAGCCATCTCCGATATATTACGTAAGATCGCCGTGGAATGTTGTGTCTTTTTAACGTGTAACACGTATTCTTAATCTGAACCGTACTCTGAGCTCGAAAAATGTTATTCAAGCGTGAGAAGAGAACACGGAGGGACCACACGAAAACTCACGGTTCCATCAAAGAGACCCGCGAGAGTATACCACGATTTACAAAATTTCACTAAAAAAAAAATCGAAATAACTCGAATTAAACAAATTGAATTTCAGAGTTATGCATGGCAAACTGACTTTACTTCTTTCGACAAAATTTTATCACAATTAAGGACAAACTTGGAATTACGAATGCGTAATGGAAATGCGAACTTGGAAATGCATATTAAATATGTCTGTCTAATCATGTGTGTCAATTAACCAACTTACAATTATTTATCAAAATAATATTAAATTTGTAAAATAAGTTTTGTACAATTTGATTCAATTGCAATACGACTTTGCAACGAAATATACGTGACCCTTGGTTTCTTTTATCCGCTTATTTTTCCGAATATCATTTTACGTTCAAACCGATAATTTCGGAATTTCCTCCCTTTCCCGTTTTTCGGCCAGGAGCATTGAAACCCTGCCGCTGCGAGCGACTGAACGCTTTATGAGACGTTATTCTTTCTTTTCTTTCTCCCCCTTCTCTCTACCGGCTTTCTCCACTATCTACCGACTTAATCTATGTAACCTGCCGGATGGACAGAGGAATTATCTACGGGACGGGACAGAGCGCGCAGAAGAAGAAAAAGAAGAAGAAACGCCGGATGCTCTATGGATCGACCGGCTCTAGCCGCGACAGCCCCGGCGAGTAGTGCTTTACGACGCACTACGGTCCGCCGCGATACCGCTCAGGTGAGGTAACGTGCGTGCCGAACGCATAAATTGTAATTCCGCAGGGTGAGTGCATTCTGTATTGTTCCCTCTAATAAACCGGGATAAGCGGGAACACGAGCGCGTGAGCATGCCGGCTAAGAACGCCCAAGAACGGGAGATAAATGCGGCCCGAACTAATTGCGGCCGGCTTTTTCTCTAACTGAAGCACATATTGTCGCGCGACGTTATCAGCATGTGAAATGAAGCTAAATATATAAATGAGAGAATAGGTATGTCTTTCCCTCTCTCTTCCTTTGTTTCTCTCAGATGTCTAAAATAGGACGCCGCGGGAATTAATCGGGATAAACGATAAATCGAAGCAAAAGTGGATTAAGTCAACATTATGTAAGACGACAAAGTCGTATCTAAAGACAAAACTCGATAACAGTAAACTTATTTTTGCCGCGCACGTTTACTTTAAAAACCTTTCAAATTAATTTCAGATAACCTTTGTTTTTTTTCTTAAGTTTAAAATAAGAAGAAAATAATGAAGGAGAAAGAGAGAGAGGAAAGAAACGTGCGAAGACCCTATCTCTTAAGAAAAAGGAGAAAATGGAAGTTATCTAAGTCCGGAGCTCTGTGAAATATCTCGGTGACTTTGTCGACATTGAGACGATCATCGTCGTCGCTTAGTTTCCCTTCTATTACCTGCGGCGGGGAAGGACACCCGGTAGGTCTAGCACACCCTGTATGCGCGCAAACATCTGTTCCTGTGGCGCAAAATAATCGCACGCATAAATAAACCACGACAGAACCGCGGCGTGCGTGTCTCACGTGAAGCGGGCAGAAAAACGCGACTTCACCGTTCACGATTCGGAGTGCCGAAAAAGTCGCGGCGAGCCGAAGCTCTCTCGATGAAATCCCACGGAGCATGCGATACTCCGCGAGACATTCCGATATGCGTAATGCCTATTTCAACATATATTAACAAATATTTATATCATTGTAACATTGTATCACAGCATAATTTTAGAGTAATTTCGCGAGGAAGTGGTTGATCTCGAACATGACGTCGAATATTCAAGACAAAAGACAAAGTGAGATCAAGGCAGGTTAGTCTGTATTTATTATATAATGAGAATGCGTCTCATTATACTTATTGTCTGAAAAAAACGGTAGAAAAGAAGTTCCCAAGTGTTCTCCTTAGAATATATGTATCCTTTCTCGAATTCTGTGATAAAATCGAGGAGATACTGCAATTAAGAAAAAAAGAAGTGCCTGAGTAAATTTTCAGAGATCTTGAAATTTTGTAATATTTTCCTCCATCGTGAGTGAACAAACTCAGATAACTTGTTATTAATTACGTAGAAAGTTTTTCACGATTCCGAAATATACCATTCTGCATGGTAAAAATAATTTTCATTGATGAAATAATTAAAATCGATCAAGTGATCAAATAGAATAAACTCGCTAATGTGTAATCACATGGAAGCTGGTGCTAAAATTCTGAAATTACGGGACCTGCTTCTCAGCTTACCCTAGCAATTTATCATGGGTAGAGCGATTTCTCTTTCGCAAACTACTTCGTTAATCTTGCAAAATTCATTTGAACTTGCAAAGAACACGCGCACAGTGTGCAATCTCCGAATCGTCTTGAAACGGTGAAAGACGTCTTATCGCGAGCAATACGTCACACTTCTCTGTTGTCTGCAAGGAGGCCTATGTAATGTAATCGCGATGAGGCAGCCAATTAATTTCGGAGATATTTTTATCATTCGCGCTTTCCCGTGGATGCGTGCACCGAGCGGACAATCGATCATGTCCGAATATATGTGCCATACTTGTTTCCACATTACCACGTTATCCGAGCCAGACATGTGATTGCTAAATCCAGAGATTTAAGAAGAAGATCTATCAGGATATTCTCGGGATTATAGACTTCATTATGTAGAAAGTAATATTTATATAAAAATAAATGGCCAAAGAACTGATTTTGTAGTTTGTTGTGTATTGTCTGGCCGACTGTTCACTTATTTGCATAGAAAAAATATTTAGTAGAATTAACTAAATTTCTAGCAAAATATAAACGAACCGGAAAATTCCAGTTTACCAGTTCCGAAATTATCAAAATTTTTAGATATAGAAAATTAAACAGATTGGGCAGTATGCGATGTGTATCGATAAAATAGTAATAATAACATATAAGAGAGGTTATTATCACTAACATTACAGCAAAATTTAATTTTAAAAATTTGATTTTTATTTAATTAAAAAAATATAGTTTTCATAACCATAGTTTATAATAATTCTCTATGTATTTATAAGTTACAAATAATTTTCTTTCAGTGTAATGATTTAATTACGAAAAATATGATTAAAAAATATAATTCAAAACGCGCCTATTTTCCGCCACGCTTTATCGACTCTCTATCGGCCGATTATACAACCGATTTTTCAAGTGTAATTAATTATTTATACATTATGTGTCATTTAATGAGATTTAATGAGACAGTAATATCATAACATCGGTTAGCGATGACCAACACGGCGTTCAACGTGATAACGAGAGACTTTTGCATTCTCAAAATGCGGATAAATTAAAAATTATAAATTAGACAAGAAACGAAACATGTTCTCAAATTCTCGAGGAAATACATTAGTTTTAACCGGTTTGTTTGTCTTTCAGTAAACTCACGCGTGAGACGCGTTGTCGATGTTTACCGAAACATGCGGGGTCGATGGTTTTTCAAAAAACGAGTCCACCTCATTCCCTTCCCTTTACAGGTATGTTAACGAAATTGCCAGCTCGTCTCGACGTCGCAGCCGTCGCGACGTATTCATAACTCCATAAATCACAAGATTTTTGTAAGAGAAAGAAGCTCACTTCAATTAATAGTCCGGTTCCCATCTCTCTCTCTCTCTCTCTCTCTCTCTCTCTCTCTCTCTCTCTCTCTCTC